GAGAACTTAGAGACCAAATCCAGTGATTTAGGCTTGTCACAAATGGACTAGCGAATGAATTGTAAAAACAGGTAAGGTTTGTTGATTTAAGGATATTTACTTTGTGTATTTTCACAGGTGAGATTGACAATTTGTGGTTTAACGGTTTATATAGCTTTAACTTTCTGAATCTCAACATCTGGTGTCATTAAATAAGTGTCTGACCTCCCCCACCCCAGTAATTTCGCACAACCAGGAGAATTTAAATAGCTAGAAATCTAAAACAATGCTTAAAAATCAACAGTGATATTATCTGTCGAAATTATAAGTGGGAAAAAAAGTCCGTTTCTGCCAAGCCTCTCTATAGCAAGCCAGGCTTGTTCTTAGACTGACTAAGAACAGGAAAAATGTCTAAATGTATCAAAATGTGTTTACTTGTCACAGATCTAAAATATTTGTTATGATTAGTCTTGTCTTTTTCTCTGAACACAACAAAAATGAAGAAATTGGACACAGCAGGCTCCCAAATAACCATGTTCATTACCTACAGACAAACATCCAAGACCTAGCTTAATGCTCTGGCTTAATGTTTGAGGCTTAACACTTAATGCCAAGCTCAAATCTAAAGCAAAGAACACAGTGAGCACCACTAGAAGGCTCACAAACTGCTGTAAAATAGTCTGCCTAATTCCTGTACACTGCAATTAGATGAACCAGCTAGCAGCTTTAGAGAACACTTTCCTTTTCAAGGCATTTGAAGAAATCTTCATCTGTGGCTGGAATATCTCTACGTCCTTTCCTTTTCTATCCTCCAAATGCCAGCCTGCAGGTGACCAAGTTTGTGGAAATTTATAAAATGGTTCCCAGTGTTGCATGTTATCCCAACAGCTTGGTATCTTTGCATTAATCAACTCATTTCTCCCTCGCTCATGCTCCTTATGGTGCACTAGAGCAGGCCTTCCCTCTTGTGGGCCTCCTAGGGCGGGTTACAGGAATTGGGCTGTTCTCCAACAGAGAGTGGGGAAACAAAGGAAATTCCCACATACAGCTAAGGGGGTGACATGGTTAATTGCAGTGTTGTTGTAGCCGTGTTGGTTCCAGGATATTAAAGAGACAAGGTGGGGGAGGTGATACCTCTTCTTGGGATAACTTCTGTTGGTGGAAGGGACAATCTTTTGAGCTTCAGAGTCTTCTTCATGTCTGGGAAAGGTGACCGGAGTGTCCAAGTTAAATACATGGTGGGACAGCTTGTTAACATAAGTGGTTCAGACATGCTATAGGAGACCGCTATCCCACCATGTTTTTAGCTTGGACACTCTGGCTACCTTCCCGAGACCTGAAGGAGAGCTACCTGAAGCTCAAAAGCTGCCCTTTTCTCCAACGCAAGTTGATTCATAACAGACATTGCTTTACCTGCTTTGTCTCTCTCGTGGTTGCAGGCATGTCAGCGGTTTGAGTGTGTGTTACCTTCCGAGGTCTACGATCTTCCAAGCAAAGAACCCTGACCGAATTCCAGAGTGCGAAGGAATGCAGCGGTAAGATTGTACATCCCACGCCAGGCACCCAGCTACCTCACCCATGCCCTTGTAGAGAGGCCAGCCTCCCACTTTCCGTCTTTGCATGCAGAATGCCCATGTATGTGCTGTATGCCCATGTCTCCGCTACTGAGCGTGCTGCTTTATCGCCATGCTGGCCTTCCTTCACGTGGCACTCTCCCCTCATGATCTCGGACAGCAACGTTTACCTACAAAGACATGCTGGCTCTGTGTCTCCTGCATGTGGAGAACTGGCTACCCCATGGGATTGTGAGGCCAGATCCTAGGAAGTGTGGAATGCCTGTAGCGCCTGGTAGGCTCGGGCCCTGAATGGGGAGCAGGGTAAATGGTCTTTTGTGTGCAGGACAAATACTGGGCTGACCTGAGCTACTCCCTCATCTGTTATGCAGGCCAACGCCAAGGCGACGTTGGGGTTTGGTCTCTTTCCGTCCTCCTCGTGCGCCAGGCTCCCAAACCCAGCTCATCTAAGAGCCCAGGGAGCATAGGGCTGAAAATCCTGCATTTCTGCCCTCAGGGAGGGGCTGAGGGGCTTTGAATAGCACTTTGGGCAGCCCTATAGGGACTCGTGGGAGTCTCAGACTAGTGCTGCCCTGCACAGAGGGCACCAGCTGGGCAGGAATTCCTGTCAAAGGGGCAGTACTGAGGGATTGCTCAGTGGTTTGAGCATTGGCCTGCTAAACCCAGGGTTGTGAGTTCAATCCTTGAGGGGGTCATTTAGGGATCTGGGGTAAAAATCTGTCTGGTGATTGGTCCTGCTTTGAGCAGGGGGTTGGACTAGATGACTTCCTGAGGTCCCTTCTGTGACGGGTTGGATCACAGAAACCCCCCTGAGAGCTGCCAACTGATGTGCCAAGGCTACCTCTGCTCCAGTTTTCCCTGTCAGCTCAGGACTCCAGCACCCTGTCTTGCTGAGCCAGACACTCCCGTCTGCTCCAATCCAGACCCAGGGTCTGAATTACTTGCCCCAAAGCTGCAGGTTTACCTGAAAACAGCTCACAGAAGTGTGCTTGCCTTTAGCACTCAGATGCCCAACTCCCAATGGGGTCTAAACCCAAATAAATCCGTTTTACCCTGTATAAAGCTTAGGCGGGGTAAACTCATAAATTGTTCGTCCTCTATAACACTGATAGAGAGAGATGCACAGTTGTTTGCTCTCCCAGGTATTAATACATACTCTGAGTTTTTTACTAAGTAAAAAGTGATTGTATTAAATACAGAAAGTAGGATTTAAGTGGTTCCAAGTAGTAACAGACAGAACAAAGTAAGTCACCAAGCAAAATAAAATAAAACACGCAAATCCATGTCTAATCAAACACTGAATACAGATAAGATCCTCACCAGTTCCAGAATGCTCCCTTTTACAGGCTAATCTCCTTTTAGCCTGGGTCCAGCAATCACTCACACCCCCTGTAGTTACTGTCCTTTGTTCCAGTTTCCTTCAAGTATTCTGTGGGGTGGAGAGGCTCCTTCTTTAGCCAGCTGAAGACAAAATGGAGGGGTCTCCCAGGGGTTTAAATAGACTTTCTCTTGTGGGTGGAGACCCCCTCCTCACCCTGTGTAGAATCCAGTCACAAATGGAGATCCGGAATCACATGGGCAAGTCACATGCCCATGCATGACTCAGGACTTGCAGGTAGCAGCCATTACCCACATGCTACCTTGAACGTCCTCAGGTAGACTTCTTATGTGGATTGGAGCCTTCCGAGCTCTTTTGTCTGTTAAGTGCTTCCTGATTGAGCACCTAATTTGCACATTCCTTTCCCAAGAAGTGACCAAATGTTCTAACTAAGGCTACTTAGAAATCAAGCAATTATACAGCCAATGTTCATAACTTTGAACACACAAATGGTGCCTGCATACAACTAGGATGAACATAACCAGTAGATCATAACCTTTACATAGATATGTTACATGGCATATGTAGCAAAACCCTATTCCAGTTATATCATACATACATTTAAAGCCTTATGGGGTACGCTGTCACACCTTCCAACCCTGATATTCTATGATTCTATGAAATCACGGCACTTCTCTCTGAGCAAGGAACCTGGGGGTAGGCACGTTTGTGTGTGGCGCTTGTCGTGGCTGAGTAAATGCCCTTCAGCAGAGACTGGAGGTGGGGAATGGGAGAGGGGTCACAAGCCCCCACGGCAGCTGCTAGCGACCTCTTCCCTCCGGCTGTGCTGTGGAACAGCCGGGCTGCGATAGCCTGGGTTATGGCTGACGCGTTCTGGGAAGGGGCGTCTGAGAGAAGGAGGGGAGGGAGCTCAGTGTGGTACCGTCCCTTGAAGCTGCACAGTGAAAGACGCGCAGGCCTGCTGTTCAAGCACTGCCTGTCGCTGAGTGATGCAGCCGGTCACAGAGCTGCACACGGTGACTGCCGTAAAACCTGATGGGAAGGATGGCCTAGTAGGCTTGAGTTCTCTTCTCCTGCAGACTTCCCATGGCCCAGCCTCTTGGTGCTCCAGTTTCTGTCCATTGTGGATAGTAGCCGCGCCCTGTCTCACAGGGGTATTGGGGGGAGAAATACATCAAAGCCTGGGAAGTGCTCAAATACCATAGAATGGGGGCCATAGAAATACTTACGGTAGAATAAAAAGGGGCTTAGACACAGGGAAATCATCCATGTGTACCTGCAAATCCCCTTTCTTCTAACAGGAAGCTCTGCAGATCCCCTCCAGCGGGTCTCCAGCCTGCCTGGAGCCCAGAATCGGGCCTGTTGGGCAAGGCATGGGAAGTTGTGGATCAGTCCCTGAACAAGAGAATTGCCACAGCAGCTTTAGAAGAGTTACTTTATTTTTAATGTTGAAACTGTGAGCTCGTTTTGTTCTGTGCCTGCCCAGTGCCTGGCACAGCGGGGGCTGGGGCTCCCAAGTGCTCTGCCAATATCAATAATAAATTAATTCGTCATGAACAATGAGGAATTAATACCCTCCCATTACAGTCAATTACTGCAGGGAACCTATTCTCCTCAGTCAAAAAACACAGCTCTTGAGATACAGTCCAGAGGACAGATGTTTTCTTCAGCTGGGCGAGATCTGTGGCCTTCCCTACTAGAAGGATGGACACTTTGGGGTAAGCATAGGTAGCTGTTTCTGCTCGACTGTACTGCCAGGGGTCACCAGCCCTTTGCGGTGGGATTTAAATAGCAGCCATGGAGGGACCGCAAATAGTTGTATGCATTAAAGATGCAACGGGAAAATGGCTTGCCCGGACAGCCAGAGAAGGAATGCTGGTGAGATCCATGTGCAGGGTCCTGCCCAGGGAAGGGACCTGATCCATCTTTCCTAATGGTCACTGAGCTGTTGCCAGTGAGAGCTGGGGGCAACTGCTGGCCTTTCTGCTGTTTTGTACGTGTCTCTGAACTCTGGGCTGAAGCTGCAGACTTCACACTTCCCTGTCTTCAGACCTGACCCCTGCCTCTTCTCTCTCAGGTTAGAGGACGAGAGGAGGTGGGTGTCTGTCCCTAAAGTCTACGTCCTCCAGCCTTGGATTTTGAACCTCTTGATGAAATACGAACAGTTGGACTCCAGAAATACTCAGGTGCCTGGGCATATCCTGAAAGTAAGTGACTGGGACTTGCTGTGCATCACTCGCCTCTTCCCAGCGCCCTGTTGGACGTGGGAAACCTCTGCTGCGGGATGTCACCGTGGCTTGAGCGTTTCTGCAGAGCTCCACTCACTGGGCTCCCTGAGGGCTAGCCAGGAGGGCATGGTGCAGGTTCGTTGCCCCTCCCCCAGAAAGGGTAGGGAACTGAGACACATTAGAGGGCTGGTCTTTCCAGCTCCCCACACACCATCTCGCTCTAAAATTGAACTCCCCTCCTGGGGCTCTGGTTCTCTCTTCCCCTTGAATGTTGTGCAGTTTTCTCTCCCTAGAACCCACGTGCCTGCCAGTTCTTTGTCTGGTTCTCTCCCGCCCCTGTGGCATTTCTCTTTCGGCTTTTTGGGTGGGGATGGGCTGAGATCTCTCTTTTTGCCCCTCATGGTCAACATACCACATGACTCCCTCCCATGTCTGAGCCCTGAAGGGCATGGTGCTGCTGCTCTTTCCATCAGCCTGAGGTGGTCGCTAGCCAGCTGGGCAAGGCAGCCCTTTCCCACAGCACTCCCACACCTGCTGCAATGGGGCGGCCTCTGGGGTGCTGCCCCTTCCCTTCCTGGATCTGGGTCTCGTCCCACTCTTGTTATTTGAACACTGGATAGAGACAGGTGCCTGCCCTGAGGGGTTTGCAGGGTATGTCTATCTTGCAATCAGGACTATGATCGCAGCACGTGTAGATGTACCCAAGCTAGATCAAAGCTAGCTCTAGCACGAATCACAGTGAAGTCATGGTGGGACCCTGAGCAGCTGCCTCCTGTGCTGCCGTGGTTTCACTGCTATTGTTACTTGAGCCAGCTTAGCTTGGGTATGTCTACACATGCTGCAGTCACAGTGGAGACACACCCACGAACTACAGAGGCATAGCTGGTGGAGAATGGGGCAGGAAGGCAGTGCCTTGGCCTCACTAAGACCAGAGTGTGTGTGTGGGGTGAGCGTAGTTTGTGTCATTAATGTCATAAGAGAAGACGGAGGCTGTGATGCCTGAGGCTGGTTGGGAATTTTTCAATAAAACTTTTTTTTCTTTGGAAAACGTCAATTCATCTAAATCAAAATTTGTCGCAGGAAAGGGTCAATTTTGACAAAGTTCTCGTTTCAGAAAAAAGTTTGATTTGTCCATGTTTTGTTTTATGCAGGATTATTGTAGCCGTGTTGGTCCCAGGGTATCAGGGACAGGATGGGTGAGGGAATATCTTTTATTGGGCCAACTTCCGTTGGTGAGAGAGACAAGCTTTCGAGCCCCACAGACCTGAAGATGGGCTCTGTGTAAGCTCAAAAGCTTGTCTCTCACCAACAGACATTGGTCCAATAAAACTTCACCCACCTTGTGTCTCATGTTTCATTTTGACATTTTCTAAACAGAAAGTTCAGTTTTTCAGTTAGAAGCCACTTTTCATTTCAAAAGTGAAGTTAATTTATAGTAAAAATATGAAAAAAGTCAAAATCAAAACAAAATACTTCGACTGGGGGGGGATGGTACCTAGGGAGATGGTGGAATCTCCATCCTTAGAGGTTTTTAAGGTCAGGCTTGACAAAGCCCTGGCTGGGATGATTTAGTTGGGGTTGGTCCTGCTTTGAGCAGGGGGGTTGGACTAGATGACCTCCTGAGGTCTCTTCCAACCCTAATCTTCTGTGATTCTATGAATTGACCCAAACTGATTTATTATTAGTTTTGGATGCTCAGTTTGCAAATATTTTTGAGATTTTGACTTTTCATCCCAATTTGGGATGGGAATGTTTTTTTAAATCAACATAAGAACGGCTGTATTGGGTCAGACCAATATCCTTCTAGCCTAGTATCCTGTCTTCCGACAGTGGCCAATGCCAGGTGCTTCAGAGGGAATGAACAGAACAGGGCAATTATCAAACCATCCAGTCCTTGTCGCCCATTCCCAGGTTCTGGCAGTCAGAGGTTTAGGGACACCCAGGACATGGGATTGCATCCCTGACCATCTTGCTAATAGCCATTGATGGACTTATCCCCCATGAACTTACCTCATTCTTTTTTGAAACCACGTATACTTTGGCCTTCATATCATCCTTTGGCTGTGCATCGCGTGAATAAGTACTTCCTTCGTTTGTTTTAAACGTGGTGCGTATTAATTTCATATGGTGCCTGCTGGATTTTGCGTTATGTGAAAAGGAAGTGTTATTTACCCTATTTGCTTTCTCCACGCCATTCATGATTTTATAGACCTCTATCATATCTGCCCTTAGTCGTCTCTTTTCTAAACTCAACAGTCCCAGTCTTTTTAATCTCTCCAGTAATTTTTGTTGCCCTTCTCTTTACTTTATCCAGTTCTAATTAGGGCTGTCGAGCGATTAAAAAGATTAATCGCAATCAATTGTGTGATTAACCAATCATGGAATACCATTTATTTAAATATTTTTGCATGTTTTCTACATTTTCAAATATATTTATTTCCGTTACAACACAGAATACAAAGTGTACAGTGCTCACTTTATATTTTTTATTACAAATATTTGTGCTGTAAAAAAACAAAAGAAATAGTATTTTTCAATTCACCTCATACAAGTACTGTAGTGCAATCTGTTTATCATGAAAGTTGAACTTACAAAAGTAGAATTATGTACAAAAAATAACTGCATTGAAAAATAAAACAATGTAAAACCTACCAGTCCATTCAGTCCTACTTCAGCCAATCGCTCAGACAACCAAATTTGGTTACAATTTACTGGAGATAATGTGCCCGCTTCTTGTTTACAATGTCACCTGAAAGTGAGAACAGGCGTTCTCATGGCACTGTTGTAGCCGGCGTCAAAAGATATTTACATGCCAGATGCGCCAAAGATTCATATGTCCCTTCATGCTTCAACCACCATTCCGGGGGACATGCGTCCATGCTGATAATAGGTTCTGCTTGATAATGACCAAAGCAGTGTAAACCGACGGATGTTCATTTTCATCATCTAAGTCAAATGCCACCAGGAGAAGGTTGATTTTCTTTTTTGGTGGTTTGGGTTCTATAGTTTTCACATCTGAGTGTTGTTCTTTTAAGACTTCTGAAAGCATGCTCCCTATCTCATCCCTATCTCAGATTTGGAAGGCACTTCAGATTCTTAAACCTTGGGTCGGCTGCTGTAGCTATTTTTAGAAATCTCACATCGGTATCTTCTTTGCGTTCTGTCAAATCTGCTGTGAAAGTGTTCTTAAAGCAAACATGTGCTGGGTCATCATCCGAGACTGCTATAACTTGAAATATATGCCAGAATGTGGGTAAGACAGAGCCGAAGACATACAGTTCTCCCCCAAGGAGTTCAGTCACAAATTTCATTAACGCATTATTTTTTAAGGAGCATCATCAGCATGGAAACATGTCCTCTGGAATGGTGGCTGAAGCATGCAGGGGCATACGAATGTTTAGCATATCTGGCACGTAAATACCTTGCAACGCCAGCTACAAAAATGCCATGTGAACTCCTGTTCTCGCTTTCAGGTGACATTGTAAATAAGAAGCAGGCAGCAGCATCTTCTGTAAATGTAAACAAATTTGTTTGTCTTAGAGATTGGCTGAACAAGAAGTAGGACTGAGTGGACTTATAGGCTCCAAAGTTTTACATTGTTTTGTTTTTAAGTGCAGTTATGTAACAAAAAAATCTGCATTTGTAAATTACATTTTCAGGATAAAGAGATTGCATTACAGAACTTGTATGAGGTTAATTGAAAAATACTATTTATTTTGTTTATCATTTTTACAATGCAAATATTTGTAATAAAAAATAATATAAAGTGAGCACTGTACACTTTGTATTCTGTGTTGTAATATAAATCAATATATTTGAAAATATAGAAAAACATCCAAAAATATTTAATAAATGTCAATTGGTATTCTGTTTAACAGTGCGATTAATTACGCTTAATTTTTTTTATTGCAATTAATTTTTGAGTTAATCGCATGAGTTAAATGCGATTAATTGACAGCCCTAGTTCTAATATCTTTTTTGAGCTGGGGTGACCAGAAATGCACACAGTATTCAAAGTGTGGGCATACCATGGATTTATATAGTGGCATTATGATATTTACGGTGGTCTTATCTATGCCTTTCCTAATGGTTCCTAATATTGTTAGCTTTTTTGACTGCTGCTACACATTGAGTAGATGTTTTCAGAGAGCTATCCACAATGATTCCAAGATCTTTCTTCAGTGCTAACAGCTAATTTAGACTCCATCGTTTTGTATGTATTGTTGGGATCACGTTTTCCAGTGTGAATTACTGTGCATTTATCAACATTGAACTTCATCTGCAATTGTGTTGCCCAGTCACCCAGTTTTGTGAGATCCCTTTGTAACTTTTCGCTGTCTGCTTTGGACTTAACTATTTTGAGTAGTTTTGTATCATCTGCAAATTTTGCCACCTCACTGTTTACCCCTTTTCCCAGATCATTTATGACTGTTATGACTCTATATACTCCCACAGTATTCTTGCCAGCAAGTTAAAGAAGTATGGATTGGATGAATGGACTATAAGGTGAATAGAAAGCTGGCTAGAGAGCTGGGCTCAATGGGTAGTGATCAACGGCTCGATGTCTAGTTGACAGCAGGTATCAAGCGGAGTGCCACAGGGGTCGGTCCTGGGGCCAGTTTTGTTCAACATCTTTATTAATGATCTGAATGGTGGGATGGATTGCACCCTCAGCAAGTTCGCAGATGACACTAAGCTGGGGGAAGAGGTAGATATACTGGAGGGTAGGGATAGGGTCCAGAGTGACCTAGACAAATTGGAGGATTGGGCCAAAAGAAATCTGATGAGGTTCAACAAGGACAAGTGCAGAGTCCTGCACTTAGGATGGAAGAATCCCATGCACTGCTACAGACGAGGGACCGACTGGCTAGGCAGCAGTTCTGCAGAAAAGGACCTAGGGGTTACAGTGGATGAGAAGCTGGATATGTCAGCAGTGTGCCCTTGTTGCGCCAAGAAGGCTAACAGCATTTTGGGCTGTATAAGTAGGGGCATTGCCAGCAGATCGAGGGAAATGATTATTCCCCTCCACTGGTGAGGCCACATCTGGAATATTGCATCCAGTTTTGGGGCCCCCCACTACAGAAAGGATGTGGACAAATTGGAGAGAGTCCAGCGGAGGGCAACGAAAATGATCAGTGGGCTGGGGCACATGACTTATGAGGTGAGAGAACTGGGCTTGTTTAGTCTGCAGAAGAGAAGAATGAGGGGGGATTTGATAGCAGCCTTCAGCTACCTGAAGGAGGTTTCCAAAGAGGATGGAGCTCGGCTGTTCTCAATGGTGGCAGATGACAGAACAAGGAGCAATGGTCTCAAGTTGCAGTGGGGGAGGTCTAGGTTGGATATTAGGAAACACTATTTCACTGGCGGGGTGGGGGGAGGGGGGAAGCACTGGACTGGGTTCCCTAGGGAGGTGGTGGAATCTCCATCCTTAGAGGTTTTTAAGGCCCGGCTCGACAAAGCCCTGGCTGGGATGATTTAGTTGGTGTTGGTCCTGCTTTGAGCAGGGGGTTGGACTAGATGACCTCCTGAGGTCTCTTCCGATCCTAATCTTCTATGATTCTATGCTGAACGGAGACCCAGCTGTTTACCTCTCTCCACTGACCATTTATTCCTACCCTTTGTTTCCTATCTTTTAACCAATTACTGATCCATGAGAGGCCCTTCCCTCTGATCCCATGACAGCTTAGTTTGCTTACGAGCCTTTGGGGAGGGACCTTGTCAAAGGCTTTCTGAAAGTCCAAGTACACTATATCCACTAGATCACCCTTGTCCACCTGCGTGTTGATACCTCAAAGAATTCTAACAGATTTGCAAGACATGATTTCCCTTCACAAAAGTCATGTTGACTGTTCCCCAGCATATGCTGTTCGTCTCTGTGTCTGATCATTCTGTTCTTTACTGTAACCAATTTGCCTGGTACTGAAGTTACGCTAAGCGGCTTGTAACTGCCAAGGTTGCCTCTGAAAACTTTTTAAAAAAATCAGCATTGCATTAGCTACCCTCCAGTCATCAGGTACAGAGGCTTATTTAAGTAACAGATTACATACCCACAGTTAGAAGTTCTGCAATTTCATATTTGAGTTCCTTGAAACTCTTGGATGAATACCATCTGGTTCTGGTCACTTACTACTCTTTGTTTAATCATTTTGTTCCAAAATCTCCTCTACTGACACCTCATTCTGGACAGCTTCTTAGATTTGTCACCTCAAAAGAATGGCTCAGGTGTGGGAATCTCCCTCACATCCTCTTCAGATGAAAAGAATTCATTTAATTTCTCCACAATGGCCTTGTTTTCCCTGAGTGCTCCTTTAGCATCTCGATCGTCCAGTGGCCCCACTGATTGTTTGGCAAGCGTCCTGCTTCTGATGTACTTAAATGTTTTTTTCCTGTGTGTGTGTGTGTATGTGTCTTTTGCTAGTTGCTCTTCAAATTCTCTTTTTGGCCTACCTAGTTATACTTTTAAACTTGACTTGCCAGTTTTTATGCTCCTTTCTGTTTTCCTTAGTAGGATTTAACTTCCAATTTTTAAGCAATGTCTTTTTGTCTCTAACTGCCTCTTTTATTCTGTTGTTTAGCCATGATGGCATTTCTTTTGATGGTCTTGCTGTTTTTGTTTTTTGTTTTCTTTATTTGTGATATTCATTTAGTTTGAGCCTCTGTTACGCTGTCTCCATGCAGCTTGCAGGCATTTCACTCCTGTGACTGTATATTTTAATTTTGATTTAACTAGCTTCCTCATTTGTGTGTCGTTCCCCTTTTTGAAGTTAAATGCTACTATGGTGGGTTTCTTCGGTATTTTCCCCTCTACAGGGATGTTAAATTTAATTCCACTGTGGTTGTTATTACTGAGCGGTAATAATCTCAAAATTGTGGGATGGAAAAACGGTTTCCTTCCCAGCTCTAGTGAACCCCCTTCCTCTGCCTATGTACATCCCTGAGCTGCTCTCATGCAAACTGATCGCAGGGGAGTTTGCCACCTGCCTTAGAAATTCCAAACAACTTTTTCTTCACTCCTGCCAGTCATCTGCTCCCTCTTGCCATCTGTCCTGAATTAGCCCCCTTTCCTCTCCCGAATGGGACCCCCATCCCCCTGCCTCTCTTCTGCACTCCCTCTTTTCCTCTATGACCAGTCTTCCTTCTGCTGTGTTAATTCCGATGGAATAAATGAGCCCAGCGAGTCAAGGGCGTTAACGTGACTGTGTCACTGTCCGACATTAAACATTAAGCATGGCTTGGGGTTTTGAGCACAGAGACCTGCTTAGTCCCAGGACAACAACCAGTAAATTGTTTTAAACCTTTTATTAAAGATACAAAAAAAGAAGGAAACACAGCAAGAGCATTTAGAAAGGAGCGTATGAAGTAAGGCTTTCATTTTAACAGTATCTCTTCCTCCCTTTCCCTTCCGCTGTAGAAAGCTTCTTCTAGGGAAGAGCACCTGACAGTTTTTAAATCGTGTTAAAGATGATGATAAATGTCCTTTTGGGGGAAAATTAAACATGAGTTGAAATGAGCTGCAGTTGTTTTGGTGGAAGTCCAGTCTTGCTTCCTTATGATAAAGCAAGACAAAAGAGGGCAAAAAGAACAGCAAAGATAGAAGATGCAGCTCTGTCTTTGGTGCTGACTTTCACTTGCAACCTCTTTGCTGGAGAAACACATGGTCTGATCAGCCATGCTGAGACCTGGCAAACTCGTACCAATGTCGGGCTGTTTAGGGCATTGCTTTCAGCTGCCTTTCTGGTCGCAGGCTCAGAGCAGTGCTGCAAAAAATGGCGTTGTCTAAGCCAGACTCTAGACAGAAGATAGAAAGAGTGAGAGACGGGAAGGAAAAAGACACTTCAGGGTGGGGGTGAGAACAGGAGCCCATTCCAGATGCTGTTCAGGGTTTAGCTGGAGCCCAATGTTGTCAGTTCCCTCTCTGGCTGGGGCTGCTCAGAATGCCTTTCAGGACCAGGATGATGAAGGTCCATTGGTGTCATAGCAGCTCCCAAGGTCCCAGCCGGGAGGGTAAAGCGTGCTCCTTCCAGTCCAGCCATCCCTGGTGCTCTGAGCCCCTCCAAAGCCTATTTTTTAGGGACCCCAAAAGAGAGTGGTGTGCACAATAGCCCATCACGGGTGAGGTTTATTTTCCAACATACCAATTTTGGTCTGTTAATTTCCGATTCCATTCTTCTTGCATTTACCAGTCATTACCGTCACACAGCCCCTGGGCACAGTCCTTCTGTGTGATGCTAACCCAGTCTGGCGGTCTTTAACGTTTGCTGACTTTTATAAACAATTTCATGTAACAGGCCGAGCTGGACTCTTGTAACCCTGGACAGGCCTCCGTGCAATACTTCCCAGCTCTGGCTGCTTCCTCTCGAGGGGCCTTTCTGACCCAACCTGGGACTTGTCATGTGACAATGGCGAAGCATCGCTAAGCAAGGAACTGCCTTAGAGCCAGGGCAGCAGCCATGCCTCTCACTCTGCTTCCCTGCAGGGCTCCTGCCCACAGCCTTCCCCGGCCCCCTCCTGCCTGGCTTCCTGCTGAAAGTCTCTGGGTGGTGGGGGCACCCCTCCTTTGCCCCTCGCCTGATTCTCTCTCCTCCCTGTGGGTAGCTCCTGCTGTTACCCAGCCTGAGGAGTAGCACTCTCATGACCCCCGCTGTTTCCATCTGCTGCTCCTCCTAAGTGTGATTCCCTGACAGGCAGGCATGGGCAGATGCAGAGCTCCTGTGACTTCAGGGGTGAATTTAATTCACCGACTTCATGGTGAGTGATCGTAAAGGGGGCCCGAGTGTCTGCAGCATCCCCTGGCCTGGCTGTCTTGCTGGGAGCAGTGTTGAACGCTAGCTCTGCTCCTCGGGGATGATGGAAGAGTCAAGCCCATGTTTGTTTTCTTCCCAATCTCTCGATAGGTTGTGAGTGACTTGAAGGCTGCAGACCAAGGCAGTGCCGCCGTCCTGCACATCTCAGATGGGTCCTACTACATCCGGGTGGTCGTCTCCCCGGAAGCTGTGCAGATGGCAGAATGGTGGGTTTCACCTTGTCTGTCGACCCTTGCTGGGGTAACTGTGCATTGCAGCTGGCGGCCAGGTTCTCATTGAAAGTTGGGTTGGGCTAAATCAGTAGCTGGGTGAGAGCCCATGTGGAAAGCCCAGGTGCTGCTGGAAGTAACTTATCTACTGTCCCAGCATGACACCTGCAGGTGCTGCAAACTGTGCTGCCTTTGAGTTGAGTTTCGGCTGAGGTCCTGCTTATTCGGGATCGTTAAAGGTGCAGTGGCACTTTACACAGGAGTCACAGAGTTTGGCCAGGACACCAGCGCTACTGGTAACTTCAGGTGGTTCCATTCCGCCTCTCTAACTTCCCCTTGCAGTTTCAGTTGGATCTGATGTCGTTCACTTCCTGTCCTAAACAGTCTGTGTAGGGCTGCTGTATGTGCCACCTCCAACGTGGGTAAAGGGATTATATTGGTCTATAATCCTCCTTGGGACTCCGCTGGCTACAAGCTGGTATGAGGTGTAAGGAGCTGTGTTCATTTTGCTCAGCACAAGGTTTGAAAGTCGCCCCATTCTCCAATTTCATTTTCAAAGGCAGAAAGGAAAACCTATTTCACTAGGAGGGTGGTGAAGCACTGGAATGGGTTCCCTAGGGAGGTGGTGGAATCTCCATCCTTAGTGGTTTTTAAGTTCCGGCTTGACACAGCCCTGTCTGGGATGATTTAGTTGGGGTTGTTCCTGCTCTGAGCAGGGGGTTGGACTTGATGACCTCCTGAGGTCCCTTCCAACCCTAATCTTCTATGATTCTATGATTACCATTTTTGTGTGTGGAAAATTTGGGAATTGGCCCTTTAGGTAAAACAATGGAAGGAAAACACTTCTGCCATTTCTGCAATGTTGCCTTTCTACTTATCCACTAGCTCTAAGCTAAATGTCTGTCTGTCGGTGGAAGAGAAGACACGGGCAGCAAACGTCCTGCTGATGTTCTCAGTGTCTCGCTTCCAGAGACAGACATTGCCCCTCATGATCATTTCCCAAGCCGGGGGGCTTCTCCCAGCTTAGAGAACTGGGTGTTCGCGCCAGAAACACTCGGATCCCCAGCCAGCAGAGGAGCTCTGTGAGCGTATGTGGAATTAAGTGAACATTTATGAGCCTCCTGTTAGCAGCCTTAGTCCGATATACACTCCTCAGAGTGAGTGGTGCTTCTGAGGCGTGCAGCAGCATCCAGTCGCTAGGCATCGGAGTCGCAAGATTTGAGTTTTGGTTCCAATTCTGTTGCTGTGTCCTGGGGCAGGTCACTTCCCCTCTGAGCCTTCATCTCCTCATCTGTAAAATGGGGATAATACTCACCAGCCTTGGTAAAGGGGTTTGAGAGCAAGGCAAGAAAAGCTTTATGTAAACACGCAGGATGATTGCTCTTGTGACACTGGGTGTTGCCTGGCTATGTAAGTGCAGCTGTGCGCTGGACATCAGCTAACAGCACTGGGGCAAACCACAGACTTAGAGACTGCCCTGTGGCTTAGCCTGAACTCCTCAGTCACGCAGGCAGCAATTCATCCCTTGCCGATATAAAGCAGCTCATCCTACTGCAGGATTCTGCCTCACATCATCAGCCAGTGCCTGCCAGTTCTGTGTCCAGACTGCTGCTGCCGCAATGTTTGCAGCGGATGGATCACGGCTCAGTCTCGCTCTCTCCTGGCATGCACCAAGCTGAGCTCTGCAGCAATAACTGTTGGAAAACTCTTGGGAGCAAAGGCTCATGTTCCGAACATGGGACTGGAACATGAAAATTTTAATCCTGGCTCCACCACTGAGTCGTGCTGTGGCCTCGAGCCAAGTTACTTAACCTGTCTGCCTCAGCTTCCCCATCAAAGGCGGGTACGTATTATAATTCCCCATTTTACAGATGGGAAAAGTGCCATGCCTGTTGTCAGTAGTGGAGTCACGAATAGCATACAGGCCGCGCAGCTCTAAGCACCGTGCTGCACTTGGGATCACTTTGTTTGATAGTCGCCCAACAGGCCGATTTCTAACAGCGCCGCTGAGTTGGAGCAGTGGTTCTAGAGTCCTCTCACAGGCCATCACCCAACTGCTCATGCACGTTTGAGACCATTTGTCACTCACAAATTTGTTTTGCTGCTCTCTGTTTCCTAGTGTTCAACTGCAGTCCGGGTTCTCCAACATCATTGGCAGGATTATCATCTTGCAGAAGTACATGGTGTGCTTCCAGGAGGAGACCAAAGCGGTAAGGCTCTGTCTGTCTCAGCGGCCATGGGATCCACCAGCTGAGCAAAGTGATGGGGGTCGTACTCTAGGGTGACCCTGTGCCCTGCTCTCTGGATATTCTAATGCTCTTGGATCCCGCTGAGATGCCTTGTGTTGGACAGGCAGCTGCCCTCCCCAAGGGCCCAGAATCAAACGTAAGCTGCGCGTAGCTCCCTTTGTGCAGCTGGAAACCCTTTGGCTCACTTTGTTGTGTGGCTGAGGTGTTCAGCAAATGTTACAACATTGTGACAGTTCCCTCCAGGATGCCACCTGGAGTGGGGTACCACTGAGCCCGCCTGACCCACCAGCCTGGGCTCCCTTTACACTGTACTGCTGTGACAAACTCTCAAGCCCCCTCCAGCATGCATGCAGGTAGGGATACACCCAACTGCAGCACAACACACACAGGTTCTTTAACCACCCCCTGCATGGGAAGGCAAAGCTAAGGCATCTCCCAGTTCCTAAGGAATGCACTGGGGTGCCAGGGTGTCACAGACCTGATGGCAAAATACTGAGGAGGAGAATGCTTGGGGGAAGGAGGGGATTTTGAGGAGGGGGGAATTGAGCTATCTGGGAAAGGAATAGACTCTGGATCCTCAAGGGAAGGTACATGAGCCTCTCCACACATCCAAGTCTAGTTCCATAGCCTCCGGTTCACCCCATGTTCACAACAGAGACGGATGGTGCACATGTAAACTCATTCTGCTCTAGCAACACATTGAGTGACCCCAGTAGCTGCTGCCTGCCAGGGCCTCCAGCCGTGTTTACGAGGCTTAACCCTTGCTTTGGGCTAGAGAGTGGAGCTGGTGCTATAAGCCGTGACTATTTTTGCCTAGGAGCACTAGGTGGAGCTCCAGAACTAGCACCTCCAATGCGGCCCCTGCGCGGGCAGGTGGATGGTGTGGACCTTCCCAATATGACCTCTCCTGAAGGGCTGGTGCTCCTTTGCTAGGGAACCAGCTCCTAGCTGTGTGGTCAACAACAGCCTCTGCTCTCTGGGCACGTGGGCAGGCATATTTCGTGGCCTGCTGGGCCTCCTCTTCCGGCTTGCTCTGGGCAGCCAGCCTTGTGAGGCTCACTGGACTGATGGGTGATGTACTGCAGAGAGCTCCTCTCCACCACACCTCTCTCTTCCCCCCCCCCCCCGTGCCCCCTTCCTGAAGGGTCCCCCACCTTCCCAAGTGAATACAACCCTCCCCAGCTCCCTGTCCTTCAGCAGTAGGCCCTTCCTTGGGCCTGGCTCGGCAGCACACTGCTGTCACTCTGGCTCCGCCTTTCAGCCAGGGCTCGCCTCACATGGTGCCTCCAGTCCGACACCCCACCCCTCTACCTTATGTGTGGTCGGCGCCTGGGCACTGCAGCCCTGCGTTGCCTCTCCCCAGGCTGCCTCCAGGTCTTCAGGCCCATGCCTGCTCCTGGTCTGGTCTTTGCTGCCCAGAGGTCTTGTTTGCAGAACAGTGGGCCACGCCTGCCATGGGTCCCTCGGGCCTGACGAACGAGTCCCTCACTGGACCATTCAACATCTCTTATGCAAAACAGCTTCTGCTGACATGTCAGGATGCAAATTAGGCCCTCCCATGCCCCAGGGGCGGGCATGGGGATAGTGTGTCCCCAGTGTGTTGTGGATGCACCACCTGGGTATGGAATATTCTGGAGGGCATGGGATGGAGATGGGAGTGCAGCCCCTAGTTGCTGACTGTTCTGGATGGGAGTAGGGGCTTCCTCAGGTAGAATGTTCTGGGGTGCCACCTGGGCACAGAAAGTCCTGGAAAGGGTGAGGGGGGTGGAGGGCATGGCAATGCAGCATGTCTGAGATGGAATGGGCCTTGATGGGGTGTGGAGAGACAGTTGCGGCCTGTCAGCATGTTACATTATGGATGGATGTGGGAAAGAGCCGGTGAGTATCAGAACATTTGGACTGAGGAGACAGCATAGATCATTATGGATGCGGTGGGATGAGGCATGGAACATGTGGGATGGGGCGGTACGTGGGAGACAAGGGGTGGGGCATGGAATGTGGGAGATGGGGGCGGGATGGGGCAAGTCACGGGATTAGGGAGGCGGGGGGTGGCATGTGGGGGATTGAAGGGGGGCCCTTCGTCTGTTTTACAGGAATTTTTTGTGCACTCCAGACCTGAGGGGTGGGGCACCTGGGAGGGATGAGATCTCTGGAGGGGTCTGCGCCCCGGTGTTGCAGGAGCCTGACTCCAAGCTTCCCATTCACACTCAGGCCTTGCTTGAGGGGATGAGAGGCGAGGGTCCAGTGAACCAGAGTAGGGGTAGTGCCAGGCTCTGGAGAACTGCCCCTCAGAAAATGTGGGTTTTGTGAGGGGAGGGAGGATATGGTGGCTGGAGGAAGCAGGCACTCCCAATCCCATTACACCCTCAGTTCCTTGGCACCTGTGTCACACCGCCCGTCCCATGGGGCTGACTGTTCTCATTCCTGCTGAGGTGACTGCTTGTCCCCTGCTCATCCGCTTGCAGCCCAATAGCTTTCCCAGAATCCTTTGCAGCTGTTGCCCAAAAGCTTTCTAGGCACTCCTTGGCCTGTCTCCCGTGTGGGGTCCATCCCTCGGCGAGGGGCTAGCCGGGGAGTGCATCGCCTTGCTCCAGCCTGGCTTGCCAAACCGGCCTGAGGCTGGAGCCGGGCGCAGGCCCTGCCCTGGAGAGGGAGACGGTCTGCAGAGGGCTAGGCTGTGCCTGGAGGATGTGCTCAGAGGTTTGTGACTTGAGCCTGAGCAGCCCAATCCTTTCACATTCCAAAAAAATAGCAGGACTGTTTGTGGGTGCCCCAGCTAGAGCCGGGGGGAGGGAGGGGGTGCGTGGATGTGTTTGCTTGCAGTATATTATTCAGTATATTATTCAGCCACTAGTGTTGGGTGTGTGTGGTTGGTAGTGGTGCATGTATTCAGACACTAGATGTGTGCATGTGCATATGTTGTTTAGACACTGGTGTGTGTGTGTTAGCTTGCAGTATGTTGTTCAGTCACTGGGGCGTGTGTCTTTGTGGTACACTATTCAGACACAGGGGGTGTGTGAAAGAGCTTGCAGTACGTTATTCAGCCACTAGAGGTCTCTGTGCCATCAGGCGCTCCAGCCAGGCTGAGTGCCCTGGCAACCAGGCCGGAGGTGGCTGGGCCTAGGCTGTGGGATGCCTGCCCACCTGCAGCGGTTTCCTTTAATGCCCACTGGGGGCAGGCTGTTATCCCACATAGCCAGGGGAGCCCCAGAGAGCACTGAGGCGAGAGGGCCCCATTCCCCTCTCCTGCTCCCTCCAACTCCCCGGCCCCCTACACCTCTCGCACCCTCATTTGCTGAGGGGCTTGGTGGAGACCCTCCCCTCGCTGACTGGGCCCTCACCCTCCAGTGCCGTGGGGGGTGCCGATGCCCCCTTGTGGGGAGCAGGTGGCTTTGCTGTGCGCCCCGCGCCTGACCCTGCCTGTCCGTCCCTTCCAGGAGGAGTGCGAGTTCTACCTGTCCGTCCATGAGTTCATCGTGTTGCCCTTGCAGAGGCAGAGGATGGAGGCTCTGAACTGGTAAGGCCCTCTGCTGGTGTGGCAGCTCCGGCGCGCACGCGCTTCCCCCCTCGCTGAGTTTGCAGCTGGGGATGGGGGCCCCATGGGGATCCCGCACCCTCAAGGCAAAGCCAAGAGATTGCAAACGGTGCATCGACTGGCCCACGTGTTGCACGACTGTGCACGGGGATGATGCCAGAAAGACCCCAGTATCGCACCCTCCAACTTTTAATTTTATCACCCCCACCCCTCACCTCTAGGAGCTTGTGGGGTTAGCAGCAGCCAGATTCTCTTCCCCCCGCCCGGGAGAAGGAAGCCAGAGGGGTTGTGCAGCTCTCTCTGCACTGGGGCGAGAGCTGCGGGGCGCACCAGCCCTCTGCTTTCAGGGGAAGGGGCTAGGCCTCTTGCTTGTGCTGAGGCATCAGGTTGTTCGCAGCACATCCAGCAGCTCCGATTGGCTATCTTCTTCCCCCCGCCTGCAGGAGACAGGGAATGGGGAAGGCCGATAGCTGGGGATTTCCCTGGAGAGCAGGGTTTTTCCCTGCAGGCCTGTCACGGGCAGAAAACCACCCTCTGTGTGGGAACTGCATAGAGTTGGCGGTCTGGGATCCCATCTGCCTCTTTACCCCTCTGAGGTCCTGTGGCAGCGTCCCTCACTTAGTCTGCATGCAGCTCACGGCATGGCCATTTCTTGCGAATTTATGGCGGGTCATGGAATTGAGGCCCTGGCTGCAGATGCTGTGAAAAGCTCCACCTATCAGATGCTTTTTGGAAAGCAAAATATATATATGAGAGACTCGTCCCAGACAGGGCCCTTTGGCCGGATGGAAGATTTGCTAAACTGCATGCCCAGACTCCTAGCTCTTCCCGGGATGATATTTTTGTGCCTTTGCTATGGTCTTGGAAGGAGTAACTATCATTCACCATTTTCACAGATCAGTACGTGCTTGCACAAGATCCCTAGGCAGAGCGGGGCATAGAACCCAAGTCTCTAACAGAGCAGAGCTAAGTCTTGAGCACTTTGCCACACAACCTTCCATAGGAACTTCTCCAGTGAGGTGCCTCTGTGACCCACACTAGCACAGTACAGGGCTGGGTCACCCTTTAGCAACTAGACCATGTACAGAGGTTTGAGTCTACTACTACTTCCATGCTAAGAGATCTGGTCCTTCAGCTCAAGTGAGTGAGCCTCTTATTTTTACATCCAGCGGTCCCAGGTCCAGTCCTCGCAGAGCACCTGAGCAGTGGCGCTGGGCTGGGTTCTCACCACAACCTGCTCTGAGGCTGGGAATAGAAACTTAGAATCCTGGGGCCAGGTCCTCAGTGTTTTAGGCACCGAGCATCCATTTATTTCAATGGGAGTTAGGCACCTAAATACCTTTTGGGGATCTCGGCCCTAATGCCCAGTATCCCCTTGGAGTCCCTCAAATACTTGGAGTCAGAGTTGGGTTGGGGTTTCTTTTAACTTCCTCTGCAGCATGAGAAGTGGGGATCATCTGGTCATATCTCACTTAATCAATCCCCTGCCATTGCCGGGGCCTCAGATATTGATGCACCTGGGTCCCTCCTGTTCTCTGCTTGTGGCCCCTAGTTGTTTAATCTCCTGAGGACTGTAATACCTTGGTGTAATTATGGTTGTTGGATTTACTAGGCAAGTGGCTGGGTGTGTTGATGGCCTATGATAGAGGAGATGGGACTAGAAGATGGTCCCCTCTGGCTTTGAACTCCAGAACACTACGATTTGTGTACCCCGCTAGCAATATGTGATGAGCCAGTCCATAGCTTGTTAGCTCTTCAGGGCAGGGACAGTCTCTTACTCTGTGGCTGTACAGTGCGTAGCCCAACAGGGCTCTGATCTCGGTTGGGTTCTCTATTGCGAGCTCCTGCTCAAGAGGCTAAAATCGCCTCGTTCGCTATTTGGGCGAGCTGGGAGTACAGTGGCACGCTCACACACAGTGGGGTACATGGGGAGGGCAGAATTCAGAAGATCGACCAAAAATCACAATTGAATCTTAAAACTCATGATTTTGGGGCCAATTTTATAAAATCATGGGCTGGATGGGACTTCAAAGGGGTCACCTAAGCCAGCCCCCTGCGCTGAGGCAGGACCAAGCAAACCTAGACCAGCCCTGACAGGGGTTTGTCCAACCTGTTCTTAAATCTCCAGTGACAGGGACTGCACAACCTCCCTTGGGCATATTGCAAAACTTAACTACCCTGAGAGTTGGAAAGTTTTTCTAATATCTAACCTACATCTCCCTGGCTGCAGATTAAGCCCATCACTTCAGTGGGCATGGAGAGCAATTGATCATCATGCTCTTTATAACGCTCCTTAACATCATGAAGACTGTAATGAGGGCCCCACTCAGTCTTTTCTCCAGGCTAAACATGCCCAATTGTTTTAACCTTTCCTCGCAGGCCAGGTGTTCTAACCCTTTTTGGGGTGTCTGACTCAGGTTTTTGAACTTGCGGGGCTGGCCATTCTGCGCTCCCTGGCCCAGCTGCTTGGGCACTGCAGGGGTTGAAGGCATGTAGTCAGTCACTGGGGCTTTCACTAGACCCCTGTGTGATGGTTCTCTAAACCCCTTATATGCCCCGGGTCCCTGTTTTTCCATGGAGGCTCTCTGTAGCTCTAAACGGCCGTTCTCCCCCTGGCTTTAATCACATCACCCTTGGAGGCTGTCTTTGCAACCCTCCCACGTGTTCTAGCTCATCTGCTCTTTCGGGGAGGCGATGAGGGAAAGGGGAGATGAAGGCTTCAAGGAAATAGCGCTGCATACTACAGCGAGGGCAGCGCCTTGTCTGGGCGTGGCGGGTAGGCTGCTGCACCAGTAACCAAGACCCTTTGTTGTTCCAGTAATCAGGAGCCCTCAATCCTCCAGAAGATAAAGGAACTATGGCAGTGAGTACATGACCCAGTTGTGGCACCATTTTCCTGACTTGCCAAGATGTGTGCTCGGTCAGGGCCTGGGTCGTGCTGACTAGCGAAAGGAGGTGCACGTTTACGCCGGCTGCGGGACTCCTGTGTCACAGGCTGTGATTGACCTTAGCAGGAGTCATCAAAAAAAGCTGGTTTTCATGGCTGAGCGTGTTGATGGTTGGGATGACATGTGGGGGTGTTCGCCCTTGTGCTTCAGGGTGTGAGGAAACTTCCCCCACTGGCCACGTGTTCCTCCTGAGCGAGCAATGGCTCGGAGGGGTAGAGGCACCATTGCCTTGCTTGTGAATGGCTCCCTTAGTGTGCAGGGAGGCGGCTCCTGCTCCGCTGAGACAATGTCTTACAATTTCCACTGCTCACCTCCTGTTTGGGGTTGCTGCTGAAGAGCAGCACGCTTCCCTTCAGATCGCCTGCAGAGGGAGTTGGGCTGAAACAGTAGGGTTAGCTCCCCCGTGTCTCAGTGCAAGCGTTGCACACGGAAGGGCAGGGCTAGCATATTCCCGGAAAGGCCCATCTCCTCAAAGAAGTGCAGTGCTTTGCCTGCAGCAAGGTCGACTTACGCAAATCCGCACTTATGGGAAAAGTTCTGTAAGCCTTTTTTGTGTGTGTAATTGTCAGGTATATGTTCCCGACTTACGGAACGCTTGCGTAAGTCAGGGAGCGTCTGTATAGTGAGCTACCGGAGTGAAATTGCTCAGGTATCAGAGAGAGAGGCCAAGGGATGGCTCTGATTCCCACAGGGGCTCAGTCTTGGGGCACTCCCCCGGCTCTGGTTTCCCTGTTGGGCCGGGGGGCACTGCATGACCTTTGTAAGGTTTTCTGTTGGGTTCTGGGCAGGGAAGCTGTCTGGAGCCTGACCCTGGGATCTGTGTTGTTTGACTATTGCAGGAGAGGCCTCACCCTGAAGACTGTTTCCTCCTCAGGTACAGTGGGAACAGTGACGGGAGAGGCGGGGGGTGGTAGATGTTGCTGACCTGTGTGAAATGAGTTGGTGGATCTCAGTTCTCAGTCCACCTTACACAGATCTCTGCCACGATGGCACTAACTGCCCGCTTCGTCGGCCGTCCCAGCAAGGAGTTGGATGTGGTTTGAAGACTGACCTGCGCTCTGGAGCTGTCTGCTCTGGGCGGGGCTGAGACGCACTGGTGGAACAGCATGAGCCATGCGTCCTGACACTGCCAGGGCTCTCAGTGGATAAACAGGACTGAGAGCTTTGGGGCTGTCAGTGCAGCTACTAAACCCACTGACAATGCAGAGCCCTGATCTGTGCTGCAGTCAGAGAACCACTCTGGAGCAAAGGGCTGTAAACCCAGCCAGGCCAGCAGGAGGCCCTAAGCACAGGGAGTTCGGCCTGAGGATTTGCTTGCCACGTTTGGCCACGCTACACTGGTATGCAATGGAGGTGTGTTTTCCCTGAGGCCAGCCTGCTCTGCCCTGCCTTCCCTCTGGCCCTGGGTGGCTCCCGGTGGAACTCTCGGCAGCACAAAATGGTCTTAAGCGCTTGGTTAATAAAGAGTCCAGATTCATATTAACTCTCTCTCCCCCCCACCCAGAAGTGATGTCCGTGCTGGTGAAAGGGGCCTGATCGACAGCCCTGGCACTGGGCACCTGTGTGCCTTCACAGAGCCTGGGCAGTGCCCCCTTCTGCCTCGTTCCTACACCGGAGTGCCAAGTCACTGCACTGGGTATAACTGTGCTCCCACTGGGCAGCCTCTGACTCGTCTGCATTCGAATGAATCAGCCCCTTGCCTCTCTGCAGCAGGCAGCAAGGGGGCCAGCAGGAGGCTGTGGTGTGCTGTGGGCGCCTGTCCGTCAGGAACTGCACTGAGACACCCCCATCCTGGCTCTTAGCAACCCCTGCTGTTCCAGTCCTGGGTCTTCCTGGAACCAAAACTAACTCACAGCTGAGGGCTCGGAGCAGATGCCATTCAAACTCCTCTTGCCTTCCCCAGTGCCTTTGGGTTGCCCCCTTCTGCCCCAGAGGCGGTGGCATTTCGTGCTAAGTAATTCTCGAGCAGTACATCCTTTGCAAAGTGCTTTGGCGATCCTGTGTGATGGAAGGTGCTGTGGGAATGTAAGACAAGGTTGTTGCTGTGAACAGAAAGGAAGTATTGAGAGCTGTTGGTACAAAATAGCTTCTCCAGGCGCTCTGTGTGTGTCACAGCTAGGCTCTGGGCTCGTGGCCTAAAGGGGATCTCAGTGGCCTGTTGACGTGGGCGCGTCTGTCCCCCTCTAGGGATGTCGGTGTCTCAGTTAATGATCGACATAGGGCAGAGACGGCTCAAGGTTTTGAAGCAGAATGTTGAGGATTGCTTGGATTTACTGGACCCAAGTGAGGTGCCAGCCATAGGGGAGAGGCTCCCTGTCACCAACTGGGAGGTGGAGCGCAAGAGAGAGGTCAGTGCTGGCTGCCAGCCTGTCCTGGCTGTGCATGTGTCCGATGATCTGGTACGGGGCCAGGTGGGGCTGAGGGGCGACGGTGGGGCTCTTCTCACAGAAGAAAGAGGTAAATCCTTCGACCTTGGGAGGGAAGGACCCAGTGCGGGAGGGGTTTCGAGTTGGAGGGAGCGAGGGTGGCTCTTGCTGTGGCATACTGGCTTTTGGCATTTCTTGGGAGAGTGCTGCACTCGGTCGGGTTCCCAGAGCTCACGCTGGATGCTCAGACCTAAGAGCTAAATCAGCTCTTCCGGGCTCTCTCTCCTGGTCTGGGGAAGAGCTGCTGGTCTTCCCAGTGATGCTGGGAGCCCCAGGGATGGGTCAGTGTGCCGGACTGCCTGGACTCTCTGTCTTTTGTCTGTGATGTAGAAGCTGGCTAACAATTCTCATTTCAGCTGAGTAAAGACGTCTTTACAGTGCCAGCCAACTTCCTGGTGATTGGCCCAGAGGAGGAGGCGGCGATTCGTGATGCCTGCGTGGCAGGTCAGTGCCACAGCTGTACCTACAGTCTGCAAAGCCTGGCCATGTCTGGGCTGGGGCTCTACCCCAGCGCCTTGCAGACCTGATTTTGAGAGCTGCAGGCTCTCAGTCAGAGGTCCCTTCGGGTTAGCAGGCTGTGGCTCTCCAGGAGCGTGCCCAGGTCTCAGTGAAGCACCCTCTGCCTGACGCGCTCTCCCCCCCATCTCTCACAAGCTTCCTGCACCAACCGGGTCTGCCTCTCCGGGGTTGCTCTGGAATGGGGGAAGGGCTCCTGAGCCGCATGGTTCAGTCAGGCCCTGCCTGCGGGGCTGCGCTCTCCGGGGATGTTGATCCACGTGGCGCGGGATGGCAACTGACATTCCAGTCCCCGGCCTGGCCCTTCACAGATGCAGCTAGAATGAGATGCTGCCTCTAGCCAGGGGATTTGCGAACCCTGTGATCTTCCCCAGTGGAAACTGGGGGGGAGCTGCAGTGGAGCTCTGCCCTGACGGGTACCTGTGGTTCTGAGAGGGGGCTTTAGGGATCTCTCAGGGAACAAGCTGAATCAGCGAGAGGAATCCAGAGGGTGACGGCAACCCCCCTATTCCTGCAGGATCTCCTCACACCGTTCCTGGGAGAAGCCGCCTTGACAGGGACCTGGATGACTGTAGTGTAGTGTCATGCACCAGTGGTGAGTAGTAGAGCCTGAGCCAGTGGCCTGGATCCTGCAGCAGCTGTCTGCTCTGTTCTGGATTTTCTTTTGGGGTTTGCCCCTCCCAGTTTTCTCTCCACTGGAGGATGGGGTCCATGGAGGGGCTATTGCAATATCCCACTAGTCTTCCAGGCCCTTGTCCTTCTCTGAAACGTAAACTCTGGTATGGAGCATGTGGGGGGAGTTTTGGTCGGCTGCTAACCAAGCGGGGCTGTTTGCCCCCAGTCACAGATTGTCCATGTTAGAGGTAACCGTCAATTCACCAGCTGTCTTGAAAAACAATTGTTTAAGCTGCATGAGGAATAAAATAAGTGGCAGCGATGCCTCTTGCCACCCCCGGCCGGCCAAGGAGCTGTAGCTTCCTCTCCCACACGCAGTCATCACCCATGCTTCTGCCACCGCTTGGCTAGGCTGCTGCTGTTCGCTCTGCAGTGGGCTAGCTCGTGGCACGCAGAAGTGTGCAGCAGGCGAATGTCTGTCTGCGAGGTCTCATTCTCTGAGTGCCGTTCAGGGTGCTGGCAATTAGCCTGGCCTGGCCCTCCGTCCCCTAAGGGACCAGCCCTCCCTCTCATCAGCTGGGAAGCGCTTGCTCTTGGTTCTTTTGGGGGGGGCGGGGACCTCTGACCTGAAGGTCTCCATCCCGTGACATTTTGAGCCTAGTTTTCTGTGCGATGCAGCGTAAGGTTGTGTTAGTGGGCCAGAGGCTTTGTCAGATGTTAAAACATCTCTGGTCTAAGGACAGCGGTTCTGCACCAGCCGTTGCCAGGGGTATCTGTCATTTTGCCCAGGCGAGTTCTTTGCTGCGCATGCACCGACAAGAGGTGTGGCTTTGTAAAAACACACAGAACCTCCCTAGGGAATTCTTACCCCCAAGCGGCAGGAAATCAGCACTCAGGCTGTGGCTTAAACCTGCCAGGGCAGGAAGATCGGTGCTAACCAGCCACTCCAGTTGACAGGCGTTGTCTTTGTGCATCCCCCTTGTGGGGCATGTGTGCTTGGAGCAGCCTCTTATGGGGTCACCCATGCTTTGCACCCCATAGCAGTGTCTCATCTGCTGTCCCTTTGGCTGTTTACAGCTAGCTAGTCCATCCTCTTTTCTCTTAGAACCAAAGAAGACAGAAAGGGGTGGGGTGAGTAGGAGAGTTGTCCCCCTCCTGATGGGGCAGACCCAGTCGACTAGGTCTGGTACAGTGTGTACAGCGTCTAGCACGCCGGGCCCTGATCTGTGACTGGGGCCGTTGGGTGCTACTACAGCATAAATAGCAGAGAGTCACACGCTTCATTGCTTCTGTAGGCGATCTGTAACCTAGCTGGGCCCCTCGCCTGCACAGCAGCTTGAGTTGAGTATAAGCCCTTGCTTTACTCAGCCGATAACGTGCCCAGAATCAGCCACTGTGGGGATCAGCTCACCAGAGTGGCTCTGTGGCCAACTTAATCAGTGTCCGGGTCCCTGGTTTGATGGATCGCAGCTGAGTGGCCCCAGGGGCGCTGACGTCTAGTGGATGCTGAGCTCACCCGCCCAAGGCGATGCTTAGCCCCCCCAAGCAGGAGTGTGTCCTCACAAAAGCTCAGCTCAGCAGGACACCGTGAAGATGGGGGTGCAGAGAACTGCTGTCCTGCTCATGGTGGGGATTGTGGCTATGGGAACACGAGGAGACAGAAGGGATTTGTAGCATGTGTGGGTGTGTTACTGTTCCTTGCTGGGGCCTTTAGCCTGGCCTACAGTGCTCCGATCTGTAGGGCTGCAGTCTAATTTCATTCTCGCTTTTGGCAGACCCTGGCGCAATGTCCCGAAGTTTGGACGTATCCCTGGATAATCCCTGGGACAAGCTTCAGTCAGTGTCCGTGACTCTGTCCTCCTCCTTGGAAGGTGAGTGCACACACTGCCTTCCAGCATCTCCTGTTGCAAGCGGAGAGCATCTTTCCTTCTCTCTGTGTCTGCACACCCTACATCTTACACCTGGAGATACAGGGTCAGACAGGAAGAACGGTGTGCTCACCTGCGCGCGCACACATGCAACTTGTAAGCCTTGTTACCACCATCACACTTGAAATTGCACACTCACTTTTGCACATGCAGTTCTTAAAACGTGGCCCATGCTGTGTGCGCGTGCAGGGGATGGGGATGGTTTTCAGGAAGGTACAGGCTGGATCTCTTTGATACATTCAGGTGCCTGTTTGTGTGTGTGATTGCGTTTGCCAGTCCACCCATCTGCATGCACCAAGGGTGATAGACCTTATCTCCCCCATAAATGGCTGATTTGCCCTTGCACGGTATTGGTGGTGACTGTATCATGGTCATGCCTAGGGACCACCGGCGATCACCCCCTTGTGCTAGGTGCTGTACAGACACAGTAACAGGCAGACAAAGGCTGGGGGATGGAGGCCGCGTAAACAATGAGATCAGTGACAGAAGCTGTAGTAGTGCCACCATTTGGGTTTGTTTTTAATGTTCTGGGAGGGGTTGTGTTGGGACGAGATCAGCTAAACGAAGGGAGAGGGGACGTGGAGGGGGTCGGACGGGGCGGGGCAGCCTGTACAGCAGGCAGAGACTCTGAGGGAGGGTATTGATGCAAACAGCCAGTCAGCACAGAGGAGAGAATGCCCAGTAGAACCTGGATAAGACACTTGGAGGACGCCTCCGGTAGCCAAGGGTTGCTGTGGCAGAACCTTCTCCTGCCAGCTTTGCTATCTTTGGCCCCTCTGGATAGTTCCCCTTTGGAATTGTCCTTCCCCAGCTGCCTTCCCAGCTCCAGGCAGGTGGGACAATCTCTGCCCATGCTGCTGTCTCCTGCCCTCTTCCACGGGGAAAGTTGTGTTTTGTTCTCTTTTGTCAGAGAAGTCCATTATCCAGCCCAGCCTGCCAAGCACAGAAGAGGCCCAGCTACCCAACTCCGCAGAGGAGGCGGCCATCACACAGCCTGACAGCAACACCCCAGATTTCTTGGAGCCTTCCAGCCAGCAGTCCCCTTGTAGCTTATCCCAGAATGAACCAGTGGAGACTGTATCCCCATCACTGCTGTCCTACAGCAGTACATGTCCCCCAGAGGCTGCCAGTCGAGGAACAGCTGCTGCCACGTTCCAGAGGGCACCTGATGTGGATAAACACCCTGATGCCAGCTATGACGTCCCCTGCGGCCAGCCATCTGGAGCTTTCCAAACCAATCTGTGCCCTTTCTCTCCTGCTCTTCCCATTTTGGGCAGCATCAACAGCAGAGCAGCACCCCCTGCAAATGGAGGGCAGGCTGAGCTTGGTGGCGCGGCTTCCCTCCCAGATGTGGAGAACAGTGGTCTGCCAAGCTCTGAATGGGACACTGAGCTGGGGAGTGGAGCTGGGGGAAAAGATCTGTCCAGGAGCAGGCAGCACAGGGTGACTAAGAGAAAGCTGCTGGTGGATGACAATAAGGCCCACGGCGAGGTTTTGTCCAATCCAGGCAAAACCCATCAGAGAGCACAGAGGAAACCTCCCCGTGCGGATGTGCCCATGGGGGACGAGAGCTGTGTGGACGCGAACGTAGTGGGCCAGAACCCAGGTATGGAGTTGGTGAGTGCTCAGAGAGCCAAGAAGACCAGGCTGGAGCAGGCCGGGCCAGCTCAGGAGCCTGCACTGCCCGGGGACCTGGAGGGGCTGCCAGGAAGGGGGAATGAGAGAGCAGCAGTCAGGAGCGTGGCTGTGTCCGGGCCAGGCCAGCACAGAGCGCAGGAACAGGTAAAGGTCCGCAGGCTCGTTGTCATTTCTTAGTTTTGTCTTAGTGTCCCACAATCTCCCGTCTCCGGGCCCCAAAGCCCTGCCTTGTAGCCACCAGCCTTCCAGCTGAGAAGAAAAGGGAAGGGCTCCCTCTGAAGGCTGGGCCTGAGCTTTCTGCCCCTGCAGCAGTCCTTCTCCAGGAGCGAGGGGTCTGCATGCCAGCCCACGTCTGCCAGGGGACTGCCCTCTGCCAGGCACTTCCCAATAGCAGCCATTGCTCCTGTGCCAGACAGGAGACAGCCATGTCCGTGGTGGGAAGAGCCTGTTGTGACCATGTGGCTGGGGAAGGGGGAGGCTGAAGCCACATGCAGCAGGAGTTGGAGGAGCCAGTCAGAGCGCAGGGGTGAGAGTACAGAGAACACACGCCAGCACTTGCTACAAGCCATCTCCTGGGCTCCCAGATGGGGACTGGGTCCTAAACAACCAGGGAAATCCTCCAGCTCTCTAAGTAACTAACCCAATAACATGTGTGAGAGAGACCCTGCCATGCTGCGCTTGCTGAATTAGGCTCAATCTTACAGCACAAGGCCCCGTCCTTGGAAGGGATCGGTCATTGTTTCAGAGGATCTCTCCTTAAGGTTGGCTTCTGTTTCGGGAGGCTTCCACTCCAGGGCTATGCCAAGCACTCAGGGTAACTCAGATTTCCAAGAGAATCCCCCACTCCTGCCTGCTGGCTTGCCCAGAGCTCTTGTCCTTCCCCTGGGGACATCTAGTGCCGTGGTTCCACAGGGTAAATGTGCATGAAACCAGCTTCTCTGAGCCAGGAGAGCTGGTGGGGGAGAAAGCTATGTCCGGAGCTCTGCATGAGCTGGGGATGTTTTTCAGCTGTGATGTTTAATATAGATTGAGCTGAATTGTCTTCCTTCCCTCCAGAAGTATGTGAAAACAGCCCCATTTCAATACGCCTACACGGCACCAACGCCGGATCTCTGTGCCCGAGTGAACTCCACCAGGTCAGTGCGGTGCGTGGGTCTCCCAGATGGGGGGCACCCCAGCTAAGTGGGCTTCTCAAATACCCTTTGCACCTCACTTAAAATAAGAGCAAAAATAAACTCGCCCCATAAGCTGCTCTGCGCCCTGTCCAAAGCAGCCGGCACGGCTCTAGAGACCCTATTGCCGGTACAGCTGGAGGAGAGAGCTGCGCCGGTCCCCCTTAGATTTCACTCCTGTCTGCCAGCTCCCTCTGATAACAGCTTGGGCCGCAGTGCCGCTGTCAGGGAGCTGCATTTGCGTAGCCCCTACAAACACAACCTGTGGGTCTCTGGCCATGCAGTGACTGACACTGTTGTGGGCTGGGTCCCCACTGCTTCACTAGGCTCTCAAACCAAGCCAGTGTGGCTCACCCTGTAATACAGAGATTGAGTCATGGCCCTCTCCCATCTCAGTTGCAGTTCTCAAACAGGTGGGTGGTAACTAGGGCAGTGCTGCCTGTGGGGGCGTAGAACCGGAGCTCTGACCCGTGTTGCCTTGCTGAGAAAGCTAATCACACTTGATTTGGCTCTTCATTACACAGCTTAATTCCTCCCACCTGCAATGTTCCCCTGCCCACCGGTTCCCTTCCACCCTGGACAGACTGTCGGTCCCCTCCCTGCCGGCTGGCAGTCCCAGCTCTTGGCCAGCTCTAGTAAAGGCAGCCAGGCTGACTCCTGGCTTGAGCTGCTCTTACAGTCCTTGGCAATGAGTGCCTGGACCCTTGTCAAAGCAGCTACAGAGAAGCAGCAGCACATGACCAGCCACTTTGGGGACCACCAGTCACTGCTGTGTGGAGCACAGCTGCTCTGGGGGTCTCACTCAGGGGCTCCCTCGGCAGAATACATCATCGTTCTGGATGGCAGCCGAGCCCTGCAGCAGCTAGGCACTGCAGTTGCAGAGCGACCGTCCCATTCTCACTTGCGCTTCTGTTTTGGTTCACAGGATCTCGAAGGCGATGCTGCGCTGGGCCTGCTGGGTGATCACCAGAGCTGAGCAGGCCTGAGCGAAGGCCCTGGGGGAGTTCCAATGTGCTGTACCTAGGTTCTCCTCTTCCTCTTCACGGCTTACCCGAAGGGACGAGCATGGAAGGGTGTGACTCGATAGCCATGCAGAGTAGGCCCTCTGGGGCCAAAAGGAAGGTCCACTGGCACTCAGGTTACCCAAAAGGCACTCCCAGTCCCAACGACTCCTGCCCAGCCTCTTGGACTAGCTCCTGTGCCATATGCTGGGAGTCCCCGGCCACAGCGGGGGCAGCTGAAGGGCTGTGGCTGCTGCATGGCAGCAGCGTGCATGAGCCTTCACTGGTACGGTGTGCCAGGGACTGAATCTCATGCTTGGCTGTGAGGTGCAGCGGGGTTTTATCCTGTGCTCCATGGAGAAGGGCTGGTGGAGGGAACGTCGGGTAGACAAGTCATCCTGGCAGCTGGATACCTTGCTGTGGGATATTCTGCTCTCCCTCCTCCCTACAATCACCTCTTCAGCACGTTAAACCCCAGCTGGAAAGCAATGCCCTTCAGCGCTCTGCCTGTCGCGCACACCAGCCCAGTCTGTTATTTGTCAAGGAATGCAATGAGCTGGGATAGGAGCAGGCATCTACCGCACAGCAGCTGTGAGCAAGGGGCTTGCTACATCTCCTTACAACCCGCAGCATCCCTTAACTGGGCTAATGCCCCAGCCCTAGGCTCCAGGCAGAGGAGGTCCATGGTGTAGCAGAGGTTAGGAAAGCGCTGTGGTAGCGTTCCTTCTCCGCAGCAGCGCACCCCTCTGCCAATTGCGACTCTGGAGTCAATGCAGTAGTTGGGTCTTTTAATGCTTAGTTTGAGTAGATTCCTGCTCAGTTTGTTACAAAATATTTCACATGGTTTATGCTTTGGAAATGAAAAATAAAAAGTGTCTATTTTTAAATACATGGCTCTGATAGAATATCCTCATCCCCCCTCACAAACGTGAGGTGCAGCAAGGGGCATGCTGCAGAGCTGGGGGGGAAGCAAAGGGACCTCTGTTCAGAATACAAATACGGTGCCCTTCACTCTGCTTTATCCTGGGGGAGGCTGTGGGCCTGGCTAAGCTAAGGTCAGGTATTGTCTGTCGGAGGAGTGGGGGGAAATAGCAGAGCTAAGGGAAGTTTTGTTACCTTAGGATAGTGGTTCCCAAACTGGGGGAGGGGGAAGTGTGGAGGAACGTTTGGGGGGTGGGGGGAATGCCCCACCCCTAGCTGTAGCTCTGGTCTCAGCCCCTGGCTCCCAGCCCGGCTGCAGCGCTGGACCTGGCAGCAGCCCTGATTGCCAGCCCCAAGCCCACCCCCAGCTCTGACCGTGACTCTGGGGACCACATGGACGGGGGGGACTGATGTAAAAGGTTTGGGGACCACTGCCTTCAGCTGTGAGCCTGGGGACAGAATCACTTGTATTTTTGACTGCAGAATTTTGCTCCAGACTCTATTTCAATTAAATTAAATAAATTCTAGCCCTTGTGCTGGTGACAAAAACCTCAACCAAGACCCGAATGTCACCGACCTGTAAAGGCTGCAGCCAGCCAGAACCAAGAGCACGACAGGTCTGAACAGCTCCATTCTCCACAGCAGCTTGATGACATCAAAGCCTCCCACCAGCTTCAATTTAACTGTTTCCCAGCAGCTCATCTTAGCAAACACCGAGTTCCTGTGCGTATCAACCCCCACCCCCACGCCTTGTCCTGCTGCTGGCTTCAGAGCAGTTGCTCCGTTTCAGTGCCCAGTTCTGCAGCACACTGAAATGATGGGGCAGCCTGAAATAAATGCACCGGCAGGAGAAACACCACAGGGAGCTGCACTGCTTCCATTAGTCATGTTCACATTTTAATCAAACCCTTCAGATTTGTTTTTTCAACTGACCGAGCGGTGCCATGGAATGTCCAGCCTGCCACGGTGGAGCAGCGCAGAACGCAGGGCCAGCGTGCACAGAGCACATGGGGCTGTGCCTTCAGCCCAAACTCCCGTTGCTGGCAGTGGAGCATCTGCTTGAGTAAGAACGGCAGGATCGTGCAGACAGGTTAAACCAAGCCGACGGCATGCACCCAGCCTAATGGTTGGAGGGGAACGACCCGCTCTGGCCCCTAGAAGAGGCAGATTGTTCTGTATTGAGTAGGTTTGGATGTGAGTGCCACACCCGGCCTGAAAACCACCTAATTCAGCATTGTGCAGCCCTGTTGATCCGGGGCCGTACAATGCAAGGCAAGTCCCCATGTATGGCAAACACACACAAGCCACCGGCCCATGCCTGCTATTGCTGCATACTTAATAGCTGTGCATGCATCCAAAGAGCCAGATGCTCCAGGAAAAGCTTAGGCTGGTGGCAAACTCAGCTACTGGCTTCTGGCATCTCGGTTTTAGCCAGCTGGAGCTTGTGTAAAGCCAGCTGTGCGCAGTATGAGACTAGCAGAGGGTAGTGGGAGCTGGAAGGGGGGGTCCTCTCGTAGATCGTTCAGGAAGTGTTAGCAGCCTCCCAGTGGGGCCAGGCTCCGGTCTGTCCCCGTTTCCATAGGAAGCACTGATGTTCTACACCTGGGAGCAGCGAAGGGAGGGGGAGCAAGCTGGGGGCCTCCTCCCCCATCTCCCCGCTGCTTGCACCATGGTGCCCTACACTGCACAGGTGCTTGAGCTTCTGTTGCAAATCATAACCCTTCAGCTTGCACTTGGTCGCAGTGTTTTATTGGAAATGACAGCGGGCCGCAGCCCTCACTAACTCATTGTCCCTGGGGGGCTGCTGGCAGGCCTGGAGCTGCTGCTCTTTGGTGTGTGGCTGTTCTGTGCATTTTCAACCGGTTGTTCCACGGCTTGCGGTTGCTCCCCCTGCAGTTCGGCTGTGGCCCTGTGCTCGTCCTGTGGCAGAGTGTCTGGGGAAGGGGCCACAAACACGGCATTAGCGAGGGTCACAACAGCATTACTAAAGGTGCCTCCGTAGGGCAACAAAGGGAGCCGCAGCTCAGTAAGAGGGAAGGGGCCTGACTGGCTGCTTTAGTCTCTGTGCACCTGTCCCCGTAGGGCCAGATTCTCCCCCTTTACACCAGTGTAACTGCACTGGCCTCAGGGTGGCCACTCCCACCTTACATTAGTAGGGGTGAGCGCAGGATCAGGCCCAGGGCAGCACGCAGGTGTAGGGAAGAGGAGTGGACTGGGCCTGGGGGGAGGCTAGCAGGAGGTGCCGGGGCAATGCCGAAGGGGAAAGGGCTCTGAGTTGGTGCAGGTGCCATGCCCTGTGCACAGGCTGTAGGGTTAGCTCATCCTTACCCTGCAATGCTGCCGGGGCACTGGCCGTGCTGCTCCCCGCCACATCCACCATAGAGTTGGGCTTAGGCTTCCGTTTCAGGACTGGCGAGCGCTGCAGGCGCAGGGGGATTTTTACACCTGAAGGAAACGCAAGCAGTGTAACATTACCAGCTTGGGGGGGGGGGTGGCACTGGCGGGGAACAGGGCCTGTGCAGGAGCCTGGGCCACCTCTATTTGAAGTTGGCTCTGGCCCCTTTCTTCTTGGAGGGGGTGTGCGCGTGTAACCCATGTGCCTAATAGGGAGATATCTCTTTAAGATAGGGAGGAGGGAGGAGTGTCCTGTCTCTGGATCACTGTTGCTAGGCAGATTAAGCACTCCAGATCCAGAAGCTTCTGGAATTGGATGTAGTAGATTTGGGTCTGCTCCCATAGGTTCCCTGTTGCTGGGGTCAGACGCCCTGAGGGCAGCAGTCAGCGCAGGTGCTTGGCAGAAGGCCACGTGCCCTGGGTGAGTCGGGAGAAGCTGAGGCCAGGGGGAGGAAGCAGGCTGCTCTCCCGAACTCTGAAGCAGGGGTTCTCAAACTGGGGGTTGGGACCCCTCGGGGGGTTGCGAGGTTATTACATGGCGGGTCGCGAGCTGTCAGCCTCCACCCCAAACCACACTTTGCATCCAGCATTTATAATGGTGTTAAATATAATGGTGTTAAAAGTGTTTTTAATTTACAAGGGGGGTCGCACTCTGAGGCTGCTATGGGAAAGGGGTCACCAGGACAAAAGTTTGAGAACCGCTGCTCTGAAGCATTTTGCAGCAGATTAGTGATATTGTGAACCCTCTAACAGGGAAGCCTGGGCAATGCTAATTATAGCCCAGGGAAACTGGGAGGGAAAAATCACTTCTGTTTTAATTTGTACGCTTTGAATATTGTTTTGATTTTAGCCAAACTGTTCTAGTTACATTATCTCAACTAGTTTGAGTCATCAACTGTTCTTTAAATGTGATAATGGGGAAAGAGTCATTTCTATTTTGCTATTCTCAGTTTTGTATTTTCTTGTAACAGGGTTTTCTTTAACTCTATACAGGTAACTGAGTGGTTGGTTAATCCATCAGCTGAGTGGCTAACAGTGATTTCAGCAGAGGAAGAGTCTGCCTGGATTCCAGCTGAAGATCCCTACAGGCAAGTGGAGGGAAGCTGTTGTTTAGTCTCAGCAGATTGTCTCGATTTGGTGATCAAAGACTCTAACTGAGACTTAAGTGAACAAAACCCAAGTTTTGGGGAACTTTCACTGTGTTTCTGGGGGGACTGAACTGTTCAGATTTTCATTTGTTTTCTTTATTGATGTTTATGTATAACTGTGAAGGTAATAAGCAACAAAGAGTCCTGTGGCACCTTATAGACTAACAGATGTATTGGAGCATAAGCTTTCGTGGGTGAATACCCACTTCGTCAGACGCATGTAATGGAAATTTCCAGAGGCAGGTATAAATATGCTGGCAAGAATCAGTCTGGAGATAAGGAGGTTAGTTCAGTCAGGGAGGGTGAGGTGCTCTGCTAGCAGTTGAGGTGTGAACACCAAGGGAGGAGAAACTGCTTTTGTAGTTGGCTAGCCATTCACAGTCTTTGTTTAATCCTGACCTGATGGTGTCAAATTTGCAAATGAACTGAAGCTCAGCAGTTTCTCTTTGAAGTCTGGTCCTGAAGTTTTTTTGCTGCAGGATGGCTACCTTTAAATCTGCTATTGTGTGGCCAGGGAGCTTGAAGTGTTCTCCTACAGGTTTTTGTATATTGCCATTCCTAATATCTGACTTGTGTCCATTTATCCTTTTACATAGGGACTGTCCAGTTTGGCTGATGTACATAGCAGAGGGGCATTGCTGGCACATGATGGCGTATATTACATTGGTGGACGTGCAGGTGAATGAACCGATGATGTTGTAGCTGATCTGGTTAGGTCCAGTGATGGTGTCGCTGGTGTAGATATGTGGGCAGAGTTGGCATCGAGGTTTGTTGCATGGATTGGTTCCAGAGTTAGAGTTGTTATGGTGCAGTGTGTGGTTGCTGGTGAGAATATGCTTAAGGTTGGCGGGTTGTCTGTGGGCAAGGACTGGCCTGCCTCCCAAGGTCTGTGAAAGCAAGGGATCATTGTCCAGGATGGGTTGTAGATCACTGATGATGCGTTGGAGAGGTTTAAGCTGAGGACTGTAGGTGATGGCCAGTGGAGTTCTGTTGGTTTCTTTCTTGGGCTTGTCTTGTAGCAGGAGGCTTCTGGGTACACGTCTGGCTCTGTTGATTTGTTTCCTTATTTCCTCGTGCGGGTATCGTAGTTTTGAGAATGCTTGGTGAAGGTCTTGTAGGTGTCGGTATCTGTCTGAGGGGTTGGAGCAAATGCGGTTGTATCTCAGCACTTGGCTGTAGACGATGGATCGTGTGGTGTGTCCAGGGTGGAAGCTGGAGGCATGAAGGGAGGCATAGCGGTCAGTGGGTTTTCGGTATAGGGTGGTGTTAACGTGACCATCATTTATTTATACTGTGGTATCTAGGAAGTGGACCTCCCGTGTAGATTGGTCCAGGCTGAGGTTGATGGTGGGGTGGAAGCTGTTGAAATCATGGTGGAATTCTTCCAGAGTCTCCTTCCCATGAGTCCAGATGATGAAGATGCCGTCAATGTAGGGTAGGTAGAGAAGGGGCGTGAGTGGACCAGAGCTGAGGAAGCGTTGTTCCAGGTCAGCCATAAAAATGTTGGCATATTGTGGGGCCATGGTCTGGAGGTATATATTGTCACCACATTTGAAATAATTGTGCGTGAGGATAAAGTCACAGAGCTCAGCAACCAGTTGTGCTGTGTCATCATCAGGGATACTGTTCCTGACAGCTTGTATTCCATCTGTGTGTGGGATGTTTGTGTAGAGAACTTCCACATCCATGGTGGCTAGGATGGTGTTTTCTGGGAGATCACCAATGCATTGTAGTTTTTCTCAGGAAATCAGTGGTGTCACGGAGATAGCTGGGAGTGCTGGTGGCATAGGGTCTGAATAGAGAGTCCACATATCCGGATAGTCCTTCAGTGAGAGTGCCAATTCCAGAGATGATGGGGTGTCCAGGATTTCCAGGTTTGTGGATCTTGGGTAGTAGATAGAATAACCCCGGTCGGGGCTCTAAGGGTGTGTTGATTTCTTCCTATGTTAGTGTAGGGAGTGTCCTGAGTAGATGGTGCAGTTTCTTAGTATATTCCTCAGTGGGATCTGAGGAAAGTGGCCTGTAGAATTTGGTATTGGAGAGTTGTCTGGCAGCCTCCTTGTGGTAGTCAGACCTGTCCATGATGACAACAGCACCTCCTTTACAAGCCTCTTTGATTATAATGTCAGGGTTGTTTCTGAGGCTGTGGATGGCATTGCGTTCTGCACGACTGAGGTTATGAGGCAAGCCATGTTGTTTTTCCACAATTTCTGCCTGTGCACGTCGGCGGAAGCATTCTATGTATAGGTCCAGACTTTCATTTTGACCCTCAGGAGGAGTCCATGTGGAGTTCTTCTTGTGTTGTTGGTGGGAGGGTATCCGTGTACCAGTGCACGGTTCAGTGTTATCTTGAAAGTATTCTTTGAGTCGGAGATGGCGAAAGTAGGCTTCCAGATCACCGCAGAACTGTATCATGTTTGTGGGGGTGGTGGGGCAAAAAGAGAGTCCCCGAGATAGGACAGACTCTTCTGCTGAGTTAAGTGTGTAGCTGGATAAATTGACGATATTGCTGGGTGAGTTAGGGGTCCCACTGTTGTGGCCCCATGTGGCAGGTAGGATTTTAGACTGTGAAAGTAATGTCTGTGGTTATATCATAGCTATGTCATGTTGTAAAAATTAGATTATTTTTCTTTATCATAAGATTTTATAAAGTTATTTAATTAAATTCATTTCTTTAGTTTCTTTTGGATTTGAATGTGGGGAGGTTGACCTTGTGTGATCCTTGCTGAAAATCCTTAGAGACTAGGGTTACCATCCATCCGGGTTTCCCCGGACATGTCCGGCTTTTTTAGCTTTAAATGGC